AAGGTATGTCACAAGTTAAACCATGAAGCAAATCTCAATAAATTAAAAAGGGACAATTTAGACAAGTATTTTATGACAAAGAAGTAATTAAATAGAAAACTAATAGTAAAAAGAAATCTGGAATATCCCCCAAATCTTTTGGAATAAAATATACCCTCTTAAGTAACACATCTGTCAAAGAATAAATCAAACACGAAATTACCAACTCTTAACTGAATGAAAATGAAAATACAAGAAATTGGAATAGGTGGAATACAACTAAAATGTACTCAAAGAGAAATTAAGGCCTATATTAGAAAAGAATTAAATTATCAAATTATTGACCTCAGATTCATCTGAAGAAGTTAGAAAAAGAGTTCATAAGTAGAAGTAGAAAAATAGAAATAATAAAGAGCAGAAGTCAATTAAAAGGGGAAAAAAATAACTAGCAAAACCAATAAAACCAAAAGCTAGTTCTTTGACAAGGTCAATAAAACTAGTAAACCTCAACCCAGACTCATTTGGGAAGAAATCAAGAGAGAGAAGATAGAACTTATCAATATTTATCCATATAAGATGTGAATAATTATACTATAACTAGAAATAAAACATCATTGAAGATCCTACAGACATAAGAAAGACAAAAAAAGAACAAACAACATAAAAAGCCTATTTTATTAAAGAAATCAGATTTTTAGTTAAAAATTCTCCCAGAAATAAAACTCTAGGCCCTGATGGCTTTTTTGCTGAATTCTGTAAAACATTTAGCTGACAATTAACACCAATTTGGCCTAATACCTACCAGATAAATAAAGCACAGGAAACACTTCTCACTTCATCATGTGAGACCAGCATTACACTGATACCCAAACTAGACAAAGACATTAAAAAAAAAAAAAAAAACCCAAAAAACAAAAACATAGATGTATTTCTGGTGAACAAGGTCGTAAAAACTACCAACAAAATTTTAGCACAATTGAATCCAAAAATATATTAAACAAATAGAACATTATGATTCCATTAGTTTTCACACTGCTTATAAAGCATACCCAAGAATGGGAAGAAAAAAGAGGTTTAATTGGACTTATAGTTCCACATGGCTGAGGAGGCCTCAGAATCATGGTGGGAGGTGAAAGGCACTTCTTACATGGCAGTGGCAAGAGAAAAATGAGGAAGAAGCAAAAGCAGAAACCCCTGATGAACCCATTAGATCTCATGAGACTTAATTCACTATCATGAGAATAGCATGGGAAAGATAGGCCCCCATGATTCAATTATCTCTACCTTAACCTCTCCCACAACACGGTGGGAATTCTGGGAAATACAATCCAAATTGAGATTTTGGTGGGGACACAGCCAAACCATATCCACAACTAAGTAGGAACTTTCCAGGGAATGAAAGGATTTAACATTTGAAAATCAATCAACAAAACTCACTACATTAAGAGACCAAAGCTGAAAACCATATGGTGATCTTAATAGATCTATAAAAAGCATTTGCCAAAATACTACACTCATTTCTAATGAAAGAACTCTCAGCTAAGTTGGAATAGAAGGAAATTTCCTCAACCAGAGGAAAAAAGGCATCTATGAAAAACCTATAGCTAACACCATAATTAAAAAGTCCTAAGGATTTCCCCCCAGATCAAGAACAAGGCAAAATATTTGCTCTCACCACTTGTATTAAGAGTTCTCGCAAGTACAATAAGTCAAGAGAAACAAATTGAAAGTATTTAAATAAGAAAAACAATTAAAACATGTATTTACAAATGATATGATGTTCTATACAGAAAATTCTGAGTAATCTACATAAAAGCAAGAGCTATTAAATGAGATTGGGAAGATCTCAGTATTCAAGGCCAATACAAAAAGTCAATTGTATTGCTATATGATAGCAACAAAAAATTGGAAGCTAAAATGAAAAAATTAATAGCATCCAAAAAATGGAACACTTATTAAATTTTATAAAACCAAAAGCTGCAAGTCATCTGAGAGTAATTAAAGAAAGCCTAAATAAATGTAGATACATATTAATAAGTATGTTCATGGATCAGAAGATTTGTTATTATTAGAATATCATTTCTTTCCAAATTGAACTTTAGATTCAGTGCAATCTCGGCAAGAGTTTTTGTGGAAATACACTAATTCGAACATTTGCATGCAAGTGCAAAAGACCCAGAATTGTTAAAACAACTTTTAGAAAGAAGAAAAATATTGGAAAGCTAACATTACCTGTTTTCAAGATATAAATATACTGGTTTCAAGACAATGTTGAGTTGATGTAAAGACAGACAGCTAGATCAATGAGGGCCGGGCATGGTGGCTCACGCCTGCAATCCTAGCACTTTGAAGGCCAAGGCAGGGCAGATCACCTAAGGTTGGGAGTTCAAGACAGATAGATCAATGGAACAAAATAGAGTGTACAAAAATATACAACTACATATATGATCAATTAATTTTCAACAAAGGCTCCAAGGCAATTTAATGTGGACAAGATAATCACTTAAACAAATAGTGTTGGGAGATGGGGCTACCTATATGTCTAAAAACACAAAAGTTAATCTTATATTTCTTCTCACACCACATGAAAAGATTACTGATGACAGATTTTAGAATTAAGTATAAGATACAGGACAGGCCGGGCACGGTGGCTCATGCCTGTAATCCCAGAACTGTGGGAGGCTGAGGCAGGCGGATCACCTGAGGTTGGGAGGACAAGACCTATCCTGACAAGATGGAGAAACCCCATTTCTGCTAAAAAGGCAAAGTTAGCCAGGAGTGGTGGCATATGCCTGTAATCCCAGCTACTTGGGAAGCTGAGGCAGGAGAATGCTTGAACCCAGGAGGCAGAGGTTGCGGTGAGCCTGAGATGGCACCATTGCACTCCAGCCTGGGCAACAGAGTGAAACTCCACCTCAAAAAAAAAAAAAAAAAGAAAAAAAGATACAGAACAATGGCAGTTTTAGAGGAAAACTTGGGAAGAAATCTTAGTAATACTCAGTGTGGCAAACTGGAAATAACCCAAAAGTGTATCAAATGAATTAAAAATTTTTACAATATTCATATAACTGAATACAACTTTGCAATAAAAAGAAAAATATATTGATACTATTTACATAACAGTCTAGAAAAATGCTTAAATATTTATAGTGACAGAAAACAGATCAGAAATTGCTTGTATATTTGGAGTAGAGGGGTGGAAGCAGAGAAAGAGAAGTTACAAATGGTCTTAGAACTTTCGAATTATGTCCATCTTCATTGATTTCATTGTGGTGATGGTTTCATAGATGTATACATTATGTCAAAACTCATCAAACTGTACAATTTAAGTAAGCATAATTTATTTTACTTAGGTTATACCTCAGGAAAGCTATCTTTCAAATTTCTCACATTTACGAAAAATATTTAAAGGTTAGCAGCCTCGTGTCATTCTTTCATTTGATAGAGACTAACACCTGTATGTGTTTCTATTCACACTGAATCTTTGCCAATACTTTATTACCCTAAGTTCTATATATTTCGATTTTCTTACTTATACCTGTCTCTTACTACTTCAGATCAATGTTTCCTGCCCTAAATTTTCACAGCTGCTCCTATTGGAACTTTTATTTGCAGCACTTTTTAATTTGACCACCAGAATCTCATGAATATACTTGTTTACTATTTATCCAGTGTACTCTCTATATATTCAGATACATATAAGCTCCACCTCAGCTCCAACTTTTAAGTGTTGAAAATTTTCTCATGTTGCCAGTTAATAGATCCCATCTTCATTAAACAGTATTCTTATTCTAGCGTAATTCTGTACTCTCATGTGGTTTCCAAATTTAAAAAGAAAACAAGCCACAATAGGAAATCTAAAATAGAAATAAAAAGACCTAATTTAGAAAACCAAGTTGAACTGGATTTAAATATCTCAGAAACAGAAAAAGGAGGACTTGAACATTTCATAAAAACAGTCCTCATTCTACATAGTCTAGAATAACATTTTCAACCTCAAATTTGGTACATAGAAGAAAGAATGTTCTTGCAATAATTTTTATAAAATTCTCAAAAACTTAAAATCTTATATGTTCTTGATTATTGAGGTAGTGAAGAATGTGACAAAAATTCAACAATTACAGGACATCAAAGATTAACAAGGTTTGACATCATCAACCTAGAGTTTTCACTAAATGGAGAAATACAATGACAAAATTTTAAAAATTTTAAGAAAATCTCAACATTTCGCACATTGAAATTAATTTGTAGCTAGACAAAATATTTTCCCAAAGTTGTTATAACCATGGAAAACTAGATGTCCTTTAATAACAGACATCTTAGAATACTTATTGTTATCTTGATGCTCTTTAAGAACCTCAAAAACTTTTACTACAGTAATTTGATTTTATTCTAAGTTGTTCTTCATTACCAATTCATAGAGCAAAAAGCATAAGCCAAACTTCCAAAGGACTCATTATGTTCTCGGTTGAAGTCAAATTAAAACTAAACACAGAAATGTGCCGTCAAGGCCATCTAAGTATATTTTTCTTTACATTTACACATTTATTTTAGTATTTGATCTATGACCATCTTCATTTCACTGAACTGAATATTTTTACAAAGGAAATAAGTCTTTCTATCCAGACACTGAAATGTAAACTATACAAGAGGATAAAGAAGACCTAGGCTAAAACCAGGAAAGTAATGCTTGTCTCAGAAGGAATTAAATGAAAAGATAATAAGAAATACGATGAATTATAATAAAGAGAAAGAGAACATCACATAACTTTAGATGTGTGACTAAGACTCAAGGAATTGAAAGTAGATGACAGATCTGCAGAAAAGACACTGGCTTTTCCACTGGAAATGGTATTTACTTATAAAAGAAAGGCAAAGAAAAGATGGCTGCAGAGTAAACTTTACTCGTGTCAACAGGTTTATTGTAGGAAGGATATTTTAAGTAATTTTTTTCAATTATAAACTTACTTCAAAATAGCCATTTTGTATGCCATAGATTTGAATGAAAGTAACACAAGTAATTTTATACTGCTACAGTTTTTATTGTTCATTTTCCAACCTGGATTCCAAGTCTTGGGGTTCTCTTTAATTTCCCTTATTGACAAAGCTACTTCCAGCTGCCCACTCTTTTCTAAAGTACATTCTTCCAGAACCGCCCAGCTTCCGATGGCTAGCTTAGGTACAACCTGACTACAGTTCAGGATGGTTGTTTAAATTCTATATGAAAGACACCTTCTATTTCAAGAGTGGGAACCTGTCCATCATTGGTATTAGATAAATCTTTATGGACAGAATTTGTTTTTAAAACCTCTTCAAATTTTGCATCATCTTCCGAAACAACTGCTGGAATTCCTGCCACCTGGGGTGACTGAAGTCCAGTAGACATATTCGCTACCAGAGACTCATTTTCTGGGATTTGTTCAGATGGTGGAGGTGAACCTTCAGCAGATCCCTCTTGTATAGGAAACTCCTCAGTCAGAAGCAAATCAGCAAGTGGGGAATGTTCGTCAACAGGGGCCTCTTCTGCAGGAACCTCATCAGCTTCGGGAGAGTGTAATTCAGCGAGGGTCTCTACCACAGGAGTATCCTCAGCTGGTGGAGGCTGAACTTCGGCAGGGGCCTCCTCAGCTGGTGGAGGCTGAACTTCGGCACGGGTCTCCTCAGCTGGTGGAGGCTGAACTTCGGCACGGGTCTCCTCAGCTGGTGGAGGCTGAACTTCGGCAGGGGCCTCCTCAGCTGGTGGAGGCTGAACTTCGGCAGGGGCCTCCTCAGCTGGTGGAGGCTGAACTTCGGCACGGGTCTCCTCAGCTGGTGGAGGCTGAACTTCGGCAGGGGCCTCCTCCGCTGGTGGAGGCTGAACTTCGGCAGGGGCCTCCTCCGCTGGTGGAGGCTGAACTTCGGCAGGGGCCTCCTCCGCTGGTGGAGGCTGAACTTCGGCAGGGGCCTCCTCCGCTGGTGGAGGCTGAACTTCGGCAGGGGCCTCCTCCGCTGGTGGAGGCTGAACTTCGGCAGGGGCCTCCTCCGCTGGTGGAGGCTGAACTTCGGCAGGGGCCTCCTCCGCTGGTGGAGGCTGAACTTCGGCAGGGGCCTCCTCCGCTGGTGGAGGCTGAACTTCGGCAGGGGGCTCTTCTGCAGAAGCCTCTGTAGCTGCTAGAAGCTGAATTTCAGCAGAGGCCTCTTCTGCCATTGTCTCTTCAGCTGGTGGAGGCTGAACTTCAACAGGGGTCTCTTCTACAGGAACCTCCTCAGCTGGAAGTTCTTCCACAGGAGCTTCTGTAGCTGCTAGAAGCTGAATCGCAGCAGAGGCCTCTTCTGCAGTGGTCTCTTCAGCTGATGGAGACTGAAATTCATCAGGAGCCTCTTCTGCAGGGGTCTCCATAGCTGTTGAAAGCTGATCTTCCTGAGCCTCTTCTCTAGAAGCCTCTTTCAGTAATTGAGGCTGAGCTTCAGCAAGGGCTTCTTCAGCAGTGGTAGGCTCTAATTTAGTTGGGGCCTCTTCAAGGGCACCCTCAGCTGGTAAAGGCCATACTTCAGTGGGAGCCTTTTCAGATGAAGGAGACCACATTTCAGAAGGAAGCTCTACCGAAGAAGACTTTTCAGCTGGTGGAGGCAGAATTTCAGTAGGAGGCTCTTCTGAAGGAGACTTTTCAGCTGGTGGAGGTTGAATTTCAGCAGGAAACTCCACTAATGGAGCCTCTTTAGCTGGTGGAGGCTGACCTTTAACAGAATTCTCTGCAACTGCAGTGGCTGCCTCAGCAGCAGGAGTCTGTTCTGTTGGTGGCTCTACTTGGACATAGTTGTTTTCATAGGTTCTGAGCTCTGCCTTAGCAGTGGACTCTTCAACTAATGCAGGCTGTATTTCAGCTGGGAATGTTTCTGTTGGTGGAGGCTCTATTTCAGCAGGAGCCACTTTTTCAGCAGCAGAACTTTCTTGTACAACAGGTATAGTCACTTCTTGCTTAAGTTCATCTTCTAAGAGTACTGGAGGACCATTTTTGGTCTCCTGAGTAAATGAAGTTCTGCTGATACTTTTCTGCCTAATTTCTTCATTGCTACTTGTTGCTGGTTGAAATTCAGGGTGTTCACTAACAAAAATCTTTCCCGAGGATTTATGTTTCAGGGCACCTTCCTTTGACTTTATAAAAGAACTATCTGGCCTGGAAATAACTATTTCTGATTCACTAAAGAATGTCTGTTGTTCCTTGTCTGCTTTTTCTATGCAGGGGATGTTCATCATGGTCCAATCTCCAGTACAGTTGGTCTGCTGAGATCTGTCCATTTTTAGTTGAACTGAAGGGACGTTTGGTGGAATTGCTACTTCCTGAACACCCTCTGGCAATTCAATACCCGCTTCTCTAACACCAGCTGACTTTTCTTCAGGTACCACAGTTTCCTCAGCTAACTTGACTTCTTTTTTCTCTTCTATAATGATATCTGTCTGGAGAGACTTACTAGTCATTTCCTGTCCATGTTTTCTCTTTGTCCATGTTTGCCGAAGTTCAGAAGATATTCTAAGAGACTCACAGGTGTTGGCAGGGTAGTTGCCTTTGCTTCCAGAAATATTAGCAATACTATGGGTAGCTTTGGGGCTAGATGATTGAGGCATGGCCATGTGTTTCTTTTTCTCTTTTATATCAGTTTGCTGAGATTTGTCTACCATGGGTTGGCTGGGTCGTCTTCTCTTTCGAATTTCTTGCCTCCATGCTGAGATAGGCTGATCAGGGTCTTCACTTTCTTCCATTTTTAAGACTAGTGACTTCAAATTTATTAATTTTCAAGTAATGACCAAAAATCACAAATGTATCAAGTGTCGAAGACTTTGCCTATCTTAGGTGTCATTCTGTTGAGTTCCCTCAGCAAAAAAGTTATATTCATAAGTTATTGCATTCCATACCCACACTCTTGTTGGATCCCACCTTATTCAGTTAGCATCTTTCTTGCTTAGTCTCTGTTATGACTAGATACCACTTTTAGAAGTTTCCTTCAAGGGTCTATGACATCATAGCCAGTTCTGCCTTCAAGATTCCATCCGTTGTGTTCCTAGGACTTTTAAACAGTATACACTCATAGGTAATGGCTGCAAGTGAGACATCTACTTTTTGAAACAAGTCAAGTTGAAAAAAGCATTTGTCTACAAAAGAACATCAGGTAAATTCCAGTAATGCCACTTTCTAATTGCGGAAATTGATGCTTTTAAACTTTCGAATCTGTTCTTTTCATCCTATTATCAAAGACAGTAAGGCAGAATTGAGAATGCTGCATCCTATTTTTTTCTTTTTCTTTTTCTTTTTCTTTTTTTTTTTTTTTTTGAGATAGAGTCTTGCTCTGTTGCCAGGCGCCAGGCTGGAGTACAGCGGCGAAATCTCAGCTCACTGCAATCTCCACCTCCTAGGTTCAAGCAATTCTCCTGCCTCAGCCTCCCTAGTAGCTGGGACTACATGCGCACGCCACCACACCCAGCTAATTTTTGTTTTTTTTTTAGTAGAGACAGGGTTTTACCATGTTGGTCAGGAAGGTCTTGATCTCTTGACCTCATGATTCGCCTACCTTGGCCTCCCAAAGGGCTGGGATGACTATTTTCAGTTGTAGAAAACAACCAATAACATGTGTGAGGCTGTTCTATCAATGTATGTTTATATGACCTGAAAGGAAGTTACTACTGTTTGAAAAACGAATTCTGAAGTTCATCTCCATGTAAGCTCCTTTTCTACATCCTTAGCCTTCAGTAACTCAACAGGCTATTATCAAAATACAGAAGGCATGATTATCTTCTAAAATATCTTGAGATACTTTAATTTTCATTTAACTATTTTACAGTGTAGTTCTACCCCAAATATGGCAACTAAAAGAATATGTCTAAATACATGCCAAGTGAGATAAAATGCACCTTTTGAAGTAGTCACATTAGACTCTGCTGAGTAACTACATGGGAATGAATACCCCAATGTAGATAAAAACTTTATTTTTATATTTGTTTTGTTTTTTGAGACAGGATCTCATTCTGTAATCCTGGCTGGAGTGCAGTAGTGCAATCATAGCTCACTGCAGCCTCAGTCTTCTGGGCTTAAGCAATACTCCTACATCAGCCTCCCCAGTAGCTGAGATTACAGGCATGAGCCGCTGTACCAGCTGAAGACAAAAACATTTAATTGAAGCTATGAAAAGGAGGAATTCCAATCAAGCAGGCTGTAGATGGCATTGTATTAGATTTGGAATACAGATAAAATTTTAACTCATCACTCAGGGATTTTGCTAGAAAGATGAATATTGATTAAACAATGTTCAAAAATATTGTGCATTAGTCTGAGGAAAGTTAAGAAGAGAAAACAAACTTTTAAAATACAGTCAAGGGAGACAATGTAAAAACCATATGCTGAATAATAATTATGACTGCATTGATCTGGGAATATTTTTAAATTTATTTATGCCATATTGCCCCTAGAAAACACAGTGAATTGAATAATTCTCCTTTTTTTCACATGCGAATCTACTGAACAAGATACAAAAATCCTCAACAAAATACTAGCAAACTAAATACAACACATTAAAAAGATCATTCAGCATGATCAAATGGGATTGATCCCAGAGATGTAAGGATGGTTCAACAGATGTAAATCAATGAATATGGTACACCACCTCAACAGTATCAGGAACAAAAATGAAATTGGCATTGGTGTTTTGAGCTGAATGTTTGTGGCCCTGCTCTTTATCCACAAATTCAGATGATTCAGCTCTCTCTCCCTCACTTGGTTCATATCTGTTATGGATTGAATTGTATTTCCCCAAAAGATAGGTTGAAGTCTTACCACCAGCACCTGTGAATATGACCTTCTTTGGAAATACAGTCTTTAGAAATGTAATCAGATTAAGATGATAACCTTATAAGCAGAAAAAGATTGAGACTGGGTGCAGTGGCTCATGCCTGTAATCTCAGCACTTTGGGAGGCCGAAGCAGGTGGATCGCTTGAGGTCTACAGGTCTGCCTGTAGTCCCAGCTACACGGGAGGATCACTTGAGCTCAGGAGGCAGAGATCACAGTGAGCCAAGACTGTGCCACTGGACACCAGCCTGAGTGACAGAAGAAGACTGTCTCCAAAAAAAAAAAAAAAACACACACACACACACAAAAACCCCATCACGTTGTATACCTTAAATGTATACAAGTTTTATGTTTTGAATATATAAAGTTTCTAAAATACGCACACAACTTACCAACAATTCTACTTTCAAGAAACTTGATTTTGGGAAATAATTATTTTCTCAAGAAATGTTTTTGAGCACCTATATGTTCCAGTGACTGCTGCTACGTATTAGGGAAACGAGAAAACTAGACGATGTTTTTGACTTCACGTACCTTAAAGTCTAGTGGGAGGAACTGAATATATAAGCAAGTTTAAAAATAATAAAATGTATGTTAAGTAGTGAAGACAGAGTATAGTTTACCTAGGTTAATAGGAGCTAAAGGGGCTTGTAAGAGAGAGCTTCTGGCTGAGAAAGCAAAATGGAGGCACATCAGGCGGTAAACACCATGTTCTAGAAACTGTAAGAAAACTGCCGTGGCTGGAGGGAAGGTCAAATAAGGAAAGCATGCATGAGATACACTTGAAGAAGTAGACAGGAGCGTGATGATACAGCGACTTACAGATTCTACCAAGAATTGTTATTTTGTTTTAAATGCTACATAAAAACATTAAAGAGTTTTAAGTTTCCTCTCTCCTCTGTGTTTCTATGATTCTAAGAACAAGGAGGAAGTGTATTAATGTCTATGCTGCATAGCAAATGACCACAAACAGAGCGTCTTAAAACAACACAATTTTATCCTGTTTGTGGGTCAAGGATCAAGGTACTGGTGAAATGGGTCCTCTGATGTGGATCTCACCAGGCTGGAATCTATGTCAGCTGCACTTTCAGTTAAAGCAGAGATGGATGTACCAGGCCAACAATATATTGACAATGTCTGAAATCTTTGTGAGGGTTAGGGAAATGCCCAAAGTAAAAGGACTGAACTGATGGGATCAATGAAAGATTGGAAAAGGAATCAAATGTGTATGACAGTTGACCAAGATGGCCTTAATGTCCCCCTCAGCTTGACTAAATTTCAGATAGGCTTCTTCCTGACTCGACTTTCTGACCCGTTTTCTTATAGCATTTACTAAAACAAAACAAAACAAAACAAAACAAAAAACTTGTAAATTCTTTCTCCGCTCTTACCAGATATAAATCTTTCTAAAAACATCTTGCCAGTGTTGCAATCCAGGACTGCTTTCTCAAGGATATAAGAGCCATCCTTTTGAAATGTGATCATCTAAGAAGATAGTTCCCCTATCTTCTAGTCTCTGTGGGAGGATAGAAGAGTAACTTCATATAGCTCCAAGCTGTAAAACTACCTTCTGTCATGAGATATGAGGAAATTTACTTTTCCACTGGGTAAGGCCCATTATTAAGCATGGCACAGACAACCTAAGATTTGCTCCACCCTAGGTCTTTGTCTCTCAAAAATCCTCCTGTCTTTGGTTTTAGTGAAGTTGAGTTCAGACAGTGTGTTCACCTCTCTCCTATTACAATAGCATTGAACAAAGTCTTCCTCACTGGTTCATCTGTTAGTTTGATCCAATTTTTTGCTCTGACAGACTAAAAGAATAGATTTTTCAGGCAAAGTTTAGCATGTGTAGTAGCCAAAGGAACAAAAATATTAAGCATCATGTGATAGTGTGGTCTCAATGTTCCCAAATATCTCAGATTAAAACATGTTTTATTATAAGTGTAGGCTGCAATCTCTTACTCTGGTAACCCTTGTTTAATCACAGGCTTTTGAATTATTTTTGTCCCATTCTTCTCTCTATCTAGTGTTTATGGCAAAAGGTATATATATATATATATATATATATATATATATATATATGGTAGAGTTTGGTTTTTTAGATACTGCTTTTGTCATTTTTTTAAACTAAGAGAAACATCCAGTAAATGCAAGTAAGTCTGTAATAGAAGGATATTAGTGTGTGTGTGTGTGTGTGTGTGTGTGTGTGTGTGTGTGTGTATGTGTGGATGCTTTTACAATTCTTCACTTTACCTCTATGATAAGAGTCCAGGGGTGTATGTATGTTTATTAATTCAATAAAGTTAGTTCCAGACTACATCAGTAAGTTAGGAAATATTCAGAATAATTTTCAAAAAAATTATAGAATTCAAATCAATATTCATATGATTATTAACAAACATTCAGAAATATTTGAGTGCCTCTGAATCTTCAAGTTTTAAATTACATATTATTCTGTCTTCTATTTATTATTATGGATCTTTTCTTCACTCTTTTCCCTACATTTTATCCCAGGGGTATGGGCCAAATGGACTTCAACAACGAGTGACATTGCTCTCTAACTTTTGTTGAATTCAGAGGTACACTTAGCAGAGATCTGATGGAGACAGAATAGTGAAGTTCTCCCAGCTTCTTTACTGAAGAGTTGCTTCAAGCTGGCTGAATCTCCCTACCAAACACCACAGCTTTTATAAGACCCCTTGCACATAGCTCTCTCCAAACAGCACTCCCACTTCTTCTTGCCTCCAAACCAATATTCTCCTTCTGCTTTCAGCCCAGGGATAACAATGTTGCTAGCCTCAAAGTATCCAATTTCCCTGTATGTATGGTCTTTTAGGTTGACTGACTGTGCCATGGATGCCATGTTAACCTCTGTGACCTGCATGGACACTCCAGATGAGTTCCTGGAAAATCTAAAGTAACTGGAAGACTGAAGAAATTTTCAACCCCTGTGGCATCTACTTAACTTTGAGATATTCTCTATCATTCCTTATTCCCACTCTAATTGGTAAGGTCATTGGACTTTGTAACTGACCTTGGTCAACCTCGTGACTCCAAACCCTATGACCCCCTTCCAGCTTGCAAACTTACGACCCCACCCCCAGTTTGCAAAAAACCATGCTAAAGTAGCTTCTGTAACTTTCCACTGCCCACCCCAAACCTATAAAATCAACTCATATCCCACCACCCTTTGCTGATGCCCTTTTTGGCCTCAGCCCACCTGCACCCAGGTGAATTAACAGCCATGTTGCTCACACAAAGCCTGTCTGGGGAGTCTCTTCATCCAGAGCGCATGGTTTAACACTATACTCTTCACAGATGTTTGTAATTAGTTCTCTTAGTAAACTCTTCTTAAGTTACACAAATTGAGCATTTT